ATTAACATTTAACTCAATGGCATTCTTCTTTGATTCTGATTTTCAAATCAGGATAGAAGGAACTCAATTTTCGGAATTAATAGACTTCTAGTTTTTGTAACTTGTTTGGCCTGCAAATGTGTGACAGCTTTTCCATAGTTCTTTATTTTGTTCACTTCACGATTACAAATTGTTCTTACAGTAGTTGGACCTAAATCCAGAATTTATCCAATGTTAGCAGCTTTTTCTCTAAGTTTAAAAGGTTTTAAAATATCTAACTTTTGTTTTAAGAAAATTTATTTTCGCTTGTAACCCACTTTTATACTTAATAAAGCAGAAATATACCATTCCACTTCACCACCGTTTAATAAAAAATATTAAAACATTTAAAAAAATGTGACATAAAATGGGAATCCCCTCTGTACGCATGTATTTAAAAACGACACAAATCGAATCCAAAACTCATATTTTTTTGGCAACGCAATTCGAATCAACGCAAATCGGAGCGACAGAAATCGGGGTATTAGTGTAAATTAATCTATATCACCCCAGTGAGTAGTAGATCCACAGTAAAATTAAATTAAGCTATCATTGCTGCATAAGTATAGTCTTCAAATACATACCTTAAGCATATCTATGATGTTGCCACCCAACCAATATTATTTGCATATTATTTTATAAAAGAACACATTTTCACCACCTAGACCTCATTTTAATATCTTTCCAGCTACTTATAAACCTTATTCTTATATTAATTATTGCTCACATTATTTATTATTAAACACATGTCATACGATACGTAATAATTTGGATACATACGATTATTTTATTATTCATAGAACCTATATAGAATATAGATCCTTTAAAGATCTCCTCCTCAAAACTAAATTCTCTAACAATGGCCGACAATAATCGTAAGTTTAGTATAAGGCTAATTTTTTAAAAATATTATTTTACTCATTATATTAATTAATTTATTATATTTAAACAAATTTTAGTGTATTATACTTACACATACCTATTTGATGATTGCCAAAATCTTTATTTTTATGCAAATGTGTCTTTTTTTCTAATTTCGACCGTAACTGACTTTATTACTTCTTTAATCCAAATAATGAGTTTGATCAATATTAAAATCCTATCATTATGTTCCAAATTTTTTAATAAGTATTTAAAAACTAATTAATTAAAACTAATTATAAAAAATGGCATATACAATTTGTGCAATTGATTCTGTAAAAAAATTATGATTCTAATATATGAATGATATGATTAATCCTGATTAAGATGGATTCTAAAATATAATCTTCATTATATTTATTTTTACTTGTGTATAAAAATTTAACAATGTTTCTACGTTCGTTATTTTCCTTTAATATATGTTTATTTTTCACTAAATTCTTCCGTTGCAGACTCTATTATAATTTGATCCAAAAAGTTCTGAAAAGCTTGCGAGTTTAAGTTAGTGAATCGTCTCGTTAAGAGCAGTACAATTCTTAACGGCACTATGACAAGTCAATTTGGTTGACTCGTATACGTCCTGTTTAAATTAATCCTCTGTTTAAATCCAAAAAACAATAATTATGTTCTTTTCGATAGACAGTGTTCTTATTTTGAGGTTTTTCACCTTTTCAATCTCATTTTTAGATTAATTAAATATCAAAAAAATTAATTTTTATGCTAAAATTTTATTAGTATCTGTATCTTCGTCTATCCCTACTCTTTCTCCAGTAATATATTACTTATTATATTATAGTTTAGGCACTGTTTCGTTTGCCCAAGAACTAAACATTGCACAAAAAACCGTTTGGTCTATTTGAATAAGGCTGGATACAAACTGAAGTTTGATGTAGAGGTGTCACACGAGTTACCGCAAAAAAACCTTACGAACCGAATTTGCATCGACTGATTTCTGAAGCGCCTGGTGATGAAAAGTGACGGTAACGTCAAGCGAAAACAGTAGTAGTGGAATTGCGGTTAGCCAGCAGAAACGAATACCAAATCAGGATTGACAGCCAGCAAGGTTTTGCTGTTCTCTACGACAAAACTCTTAACTCGGAACTGTACTGTCCACAGTTGGACCATCTGAAGGAAGCAATCCTCCAGAAATGGCCAGCTTTTGGGAAAAAGAGAGGAATTGTGTTCCATTAGGACAACTCACATCATAGTCTACACCTGAAACCATGTGATAATCGTCTGTTCATGTCCATGACGAATGATTTTTCTGGTGAAAAATTCGTTTAAAGAGAGATTTGTGAAAATTGATTGTCTTAATTTTTTTGCCAATAGTGACGAGGACTTCTATGAGAGAGACTTTGATGGATTTCAAAATGGCAAGAAGTTATCGAATAAAATGACGCTTATTTGACCTAAATCGGATCATTTTATGGTCAATAAGCCGTTAATTTCATGCAAAAATAATGTGTTTTTTTTTACTATGCCTATTATATAATTCTGGAATATATATTCTCCATTTTTGATTTTAATTGATTTTATATTTATCATTATATACGAAAACTGAAGCGACAATTTCTTATAATACTGTAAATACACCTAATATAATATATTCTATGATAAAATAATATGTTGGTGACTAAAAGTTATATACACTATATGTCTACTATATGTACTATATACATAAGTGTACCAATATAACGCCTAGTATATCCTTTATTAACTTTATTGTTAACTATTTATTATTCTATACATTGAAATACTTTTAAGCTAATCGTAGATATCTTAACAAAATTAAATAAATAATAAAACATATTTCATATACTCTACATCAAAAAATTATTTTTTTGTAACAAATTTATATTAAAATTTACATTAAATATTGTTTATTTATTAAATAAACTTTTGGATAAAATAAAATTATGTCGGAGACATCTGTAGCTGCTTTTAAAATAGCTATGCGGAAAGCGAAAAGGAGAGGTCATTCAGTTAAGATAATATATCCGACAGAACTTAAACAAGAGGTAAGAACTGCGGATACTTTTATGATGGTAATGACTTTATTTATCGTAGCGTATCACCGTAAAGATCATAAAAAATAAACTATAATTTTATTATATTTATAGTATTTTTAATCTTATTTTCTAACACAAATAAAATGTATTATATATTATTTATACCAAACATTAGTTTAAGGATAGTGCAACCAAGAAAGAAAGAACACCCAAAAAACAGGTTAGAACGACTTTTTAATTATAACAATAATATTTTTATTAAAAGCACTCCTCTTTTTAAAATAGTTACAAGGTTCTAAGGGTTTTGGAGACAATTGATTTGTTACAAAAGGCATCATATAAAATAACTGTGAGGACTAAACAAACTGGAGTTTCATTTTATGATCTATAAAAATATTTTGTTAGCCATTGGCTAAAATTTATCACTATAATTATTGCTTTATGAAAATCCACTAAAAGGATAGCATCCGTATGGTCACAAACAAGTGTGCCAGTGAAAATGGTTTCATATTAGTTAATAAAGAATCTTCTCAAAAACCTTGAATAATTTTCGAAATGAATTTTAAAATAAATTATGAATGATCAGATAACACATTAGAGTAAACATTATTTCATTAAGTATAGTGATATACATGATACTTTCTGCGGAATTGTCGGAAAAGTAATAAAGGTATGTAACTTTTCATTATAATTTTTAGTAATATTAATAATTCATAGGTAAATAATATTTATATATATAATCGATATAATCTATTTATTTATATTATCTATATAATAAATAATAATTTTATATTGCAGACAATTAACAAAATGAACGATACTTAGCTGATTTTTGAATTATAACAGGGAATCTTTATTTGGAAACCACTATCAATGAAAATGGACTACAAAAAAATTGATAAATTTTAATTATTTAATATGTTATCGGTAAAAATAATTAGAGAGTTAATTTTTTTTTCTAGATAAGAGTATTTATAATATATGTAAAATGATTTAATAAAAATGGAATGAACTTATAAAATAAATATAAATTTTTTTTTGATAAACTCAGTAAAGACTTGAGAGATGGTCTCTCGCACTGGACCCGAGATTGAAAATTATTTTTCCAATAATTCTTTTAGCTTCAAATAATAAATTACCACAAATATTTGCAAATACTTAAACAGAGTATAGTATAAAAAGGATTGATTAATCTTCAGTATTTTTTAAAGGGAAATCATTTAAAAAACCTTACATAAGAATTTTTCAAAGAATATAAGTGAATTCACCCCTTAAAGAGTTTAGAAAGAATATATCACCCTCCTTTAGACTTATATTATCAAGGAATGTTTCTAAAGACTGTAATGACGAGTAATGACGAATATTTGACAATACCCGAAACAGCCGTATAGTTAGTCAAAATATTCAGTAAGTTCACAATAGCAACAACAAAATTTTTATTACCGCTGTTTCGAGTATTGCCAAATGATGGGTATTTGGAATTACCCATGAATAGTCTTGGAATTATTTCTTATATTAAACAATTATTATTAATACCTTGAAATAAAACATATATAATGTATTAATTTAATTATTCTACAGCTGGTTTATGATTTCGTTCTAATATAAAAAAGCAATTGAATTTGCGAACATACAAGCCAAGTACGGCTTTGAGTCAGTTGGCTAATGAAGGCTGACTCTGAGCTTCAAAATTGGGAGGGTACGAGTTCAGCCCTTGGTACTTGCAGCTTAAAAAAAATTGTTTACGAATAATTTAATACAAGAAAAAATTGCAAGACCCCTGATGATGGGTTCAATTAATTGAAAATAATAGAACAAAATTTTAATTGTAGCAATTCCACTACTGTTCGATTAAAATCTCTCTTTCGAAAACAATAGTTTATACTAAGTATTTAATTTCTTTCGTCATAATTGACGTTTAAAATCAATATAATTAATTAAAAATGGAATTTTATGGTTGTAATTCAGTGCTATTCAAAATACAGAAAATTGGTTATTTTATTAAGAATTGATCTATTTTCTAGTTCATTTAAAAGAATCCTTTCTTTGCTTTGAAAACTTTATTCATCCATATGTTTAGTTAGTTATGAATATTATTATTGTTTGTATATTTTTGTGATTTTACAAAAGCAATAAAGCATTGATGTAGTAAACAAGTGCTAAATTAATCAAGTGGTCATTGCAGTCACAGCTGCCTGTTAGACTTTCCGGCTCTGTTAGACAACCGCAGCCATTGTTGTCCGTTTTCCAGGACATCAAAAGCCCAACATTGCGCCAATTTAAAAACTCCTCATAGCCAAAAAGACTGCATACAGTGACTTAAATCAAAGAAAACAATTTCACTATTAAACAATATTCTGCATATGAACCAGCAGTAGGAGTTGCAACTGCATTCAATGTGGCTTACTTTGCTCCAAAAACAAGTCCCTCAACTTTAAAGGAATGCCCAGTTTTTTGATAACATTAAACTCTCGATATGCCTGTGTACACTTTTCACTCGCCAATATTTCAAATGCTGCTCTGGACCCGTAAATTGTGGAGCATTTATGCTGCATAAACACATAAAGTAGCAGAATTCTGAAATGAAATTGGAGCAGAAAAAGCAAAACCAAGTTTAAATATTTAAACGAGCTAAAAGCAATACAAGGAGAAGTAACTTACTGATGCATGCGATGATAACCGAACGTGGGTAAATCTGATGTTAAGACTTCCATGCAATCACTGCGAAGGTTACAGTTGTCCATGTCCAACGTTACAATGGCATCCAGGCAAACATCTTTAAATGTTATTTTAGCAAATGTAAATAAATATTTAGTTTCTAATGCATGTGTGCGTCAGTGTGCCGGACAGATTTTAGTTCACTTAAATGTACTCGGCGCCAGACAATAACACAACACTTTAGCAAATATGGTATTTTGGTTCAGATACTTTAAGCTTTTAATAAAATTATCTCCACATGTGAAATATTTGTACCAAATTATGGTTATGATTGTAAATATTCTTCCCAACATTTACAGCTACTATACATATTATTTGCTTATGTAAAATAAATTTATTTTATTTAATATTTAACACATAAACCTAAATTAAATCACATTTTAAAAATATTTTTACTAACTTTTATTTCGAAACGTATGTATTCAGCTTAGAAAACATACAGAATAAATCTCATCCCTCAAGGTTATAGAAGAAAGCGTTTTATAAGATTTTCATTTTATGCAACATTTAAACGTCTTACATACTTAAGTTGGATCCAGCTTTGTTTGACTTACCACTTTGTAAGTTTCTGGGGCAGGGTAACTAACAATATAACCAAAACTAGCACATCCGCATACGGATGAATTACTGCCAAAAGGTGAAAATACATATTAACCAAGAGAAAATAAAAGGGAACTTCACCATAAGGTTAAGAGGTAAGTCATATCCTGTCTCTGATAAATGACATACCGCTGCAGATTTTCCGAAAGTAGGAAATACATATTAATCAAGAGAAAAGAAAATTGGATTTTTAAAGTGTACTTATTGTGATAAATATTCACAAAGAATTGGGTCCAATACGGACATATCACCTCCGCACTTAACCTTTAATGTTACGTGGCAAGTTTAACCTTAAAAGTCTTTTAAACAACTTTAGTCTGGGAAGTAGCTATATGGATAAGTAGAAAACTGTGCTTCTTTTCACTAAGAGAAAATTCAAAATTTTAAGGCTCCTTTCTAACTCACCTAACTGCGCTGTCAGCCTTTGATACTATGAACATAGACAAGTACCTATATATATAGCCAAGTCCATTTAACCATAGACTTAAATGGTTTTATTTTAGTTTAATATGAAAGTTGTGCCTTCCTAAAGCGATGACTACTGTATGCTAGATGTTACAGATTTTTACCATTAAGATGATCCTTTAGATCTGGCGGACGGACAGTAACTCATCCGTGCTATTACAACCGGCCATTTATACTTAAGTGAAGGGTATACTCACATGCAAATCTCTCAGGATACTATAAGATATTACTACCTAAATACAAAAACGAAATTTTTGCCGTTATATTTTGGGTTCGTTTTCTAAAGTTTATGTTACTGATATTTATCAAGGTATAATATTGTTATCTGAATGACATGTTCAACCTAGTGCTCTGTACAATATTCACTGCAGATATGCTTGTCTTTAAGAAAGTAAATTAAAAAACTCTAGTTAAAGCATCTCAATATATGCAGGAACAGATTATGTTAATTAGTAAATGGAAACTAAAGCTATCTATAAGTTATGATAAATATTAAAATCGCACAATGTTTGACACTGAAATATCTGGTGATATGCTTAGATTACAGGTTTACGTGGAAAAATTATACAAAAGCCAAATTATTGTAAATCACTCTATAAATGAAACAAACGCATTGGCAGGTTTCTCAATTAAATCTAGACAGTTATAATGGAATTGGTTTCGACTGTATTTTTTTGGAGCACTGCAAGTATTTCCAATATAGAAATACTTTATAGATACCAACCAAAGCACTATGATATGTTGTTGAATTCGGTGGTATGTATTAAGCCATTTCAATAAGATCTGTTATATATGGTATTTAGAAAGGTTTAACAGATATTTCAATAAACAGATGGTAAACCTTCTGAACAACAGTCAGTCTGCTAAAGTGGTGCAGAGATGTTGGCCTTTTAATCTTACCTAATAAAGTTTAAGTAAATTATGTTTAAAACTTTAAAATGTCTTATTTTAGATAGATGCGAATTTGTTTTACATAGTACAACAGATGGTCTTAATGGAGCTTAACAATTTTTGAGATTGTCTCTCGACAAAACACATATACTTATATAAAAAAAGTTTCAAATAAAAAAATATTTAAAAGATTAAAATGTATATTAAAAATATGGATATTGTAACAAAAAAAATAATATTCAATTAAAATATGAAAAATATTATAAAATATATTTAGAAAGCCATTTATACCAGATAATGTTGCATTTGGGACTCCAGTATCCACCAATTCTTCATAACTCGGAAGCAGGGAGTCATATTCCATATGCACATCAATATGCCGCTCTTTAAGTGTCGGAGGTATGAGCAAGATATCCTTTTGAAATATATTATCTAAAACTTTTAAGGAATATTTTTATTATATTACTTTTAATATTATATTAATTTTAATTATAATTTTATTTAAAATTTTTAAATGTACAATTAAATTGTTAAATTACAGCATAAACTTAAGTTTAATGATTAAACCCTTTAATATATTTACATAAAGTGAAAAAATGAGTATTAAGTAATATTAATTATTATAATATATATTATAATTTCAGGAACTTAAACTTACTGCGTCTATAAACATTGGAATAATCGCTGTCATCCGTTTTCTTTATTATACCATTGAGTTTTTGCAAAATTTTGAAATAAATTTGCTCCTCGAAACGTGTGGCCTCATAAAAACGCACTTTTTCTAATAATAAAAAAAATTTTATGAATTTTTAAACTATTTTTTGTTCTAATTTGAATAACTCAACCGACGTTTGATCAAAAATTCCGCTAAAATTGCTGTGAATTTGGTGTTCGAGTCGAGATCCCTGCTATTCTCCAATTTATTCAACAGTTTAAAAATCTTTTTGGCCACAAAAGCTTTTGTTGTAGGTTCCACAGTTTCAGTTGTGGTGCCGAACTTCTGCAATACAAAGAACACTAGAAATATCTGAACAAAAATCAGTTTCCTATTTTCACAGAACAACATTTCGCACAAGAAACTTCAGAGTATCTGAAACATTTTTGAAATTGTTACAAAATTTAAATGTTGCTTTGCCCACACAAATCAATGTTTTAATGAAGACAAATCGGAGGACATTTGTAAGGAAAACATCAAACGGCATTAAAGTTATTCAAATGTTAAAATGCGGTTTAGATAAAGTTTTCGAGGAAGAGATGCTGGAACAAATACACTTAAAACAATTTATGAAAGTTACTCAATATTGGGCCACAGTTACAATGGGCCACAGTTTTATATGTCCTCACATTAAGCTTTTTTAAATACAAAAGGCAAAGAAAAAAATATACACTTATTAGTCAATACAATGTACAGGATGCCACATTTTAAAGCGATTTACTTTTAAAGAAGATTCTTTGTTCCAAGAAACGAAAAAAATTGGATCCATTCACATAATTTGCGTAGAATCAGAGTGTCACAGAAACATCAGTCCAAAAAGCATTCAATCGATAATGTTATAAAGGGTTAAGAGTAAACTACAAAGATTCATTTATGTAACTTTAGGTCCACTTAAGTTAAGCGAAGTTAGAAACTGGAGTCGAAACAATTAAGTCGTCTTTTAATGGAAAAGCAATAAGTACTTGATTTTGCTATTAGTTTCCTTGACTTCTATCAAGTTGACAATATCAAAGTTCTTTCAACTTCGCATAAGAATAGAATCGATACTAGAGTTGATAATATTTTTGACTCCTTAGTAGAGTTCGATACGACTTCTAAATCTAATCGCAGGCTTTAAAGATAGGCAATTGGGTTGAAGTTACATTTTTTCCAAGTAACTGAAAATGTTACACTACTTTAAACGTCTTTCGCACGTTTTTTAAGCTAGATTTAAGGGAGATGATTAAACTAATATATTATAAATGGAAACTAAAAATTACTACAATTAAATATATATATACATAAATATATATATATATATAAATTTATAATAACTGTTTGCAAAATGTGTCTCAATTTCAACGATCAAATGTAAACACGACAAAAAAATATATATTTGATTATGCAAAGCAGATCTTTGATATCTCTTGCTTCAAATAAATTTACGATTTAGTGCTCTCTGGAATCAAAATATCTCATATTGTGATTAATATGGTGATTGTGACTAACAGTGGCGACGTTAAGTGTCAGCGGTGTCGGAGACCGCTGTCGGCCTCGCGCCCCCAGAAGCCTCACAAAAAGTTACCGACTATCGATTCAAAGCACTTAATGGATATTTTGAAAAATTTTTTTCATATATGACAATCATATGAAAAGTATACCAAACTCGGCTTATTAAACAATATGACGAACCACTGCTTTTAAAATCGAGCTCACTAGACTAAATCAACGATATAACACAACTCGTCTGGTATATTAAAGAAAATAATTTAGAGAAAGTACATCCGAATCTTTATATAGTAACCAGAGTCATGCTCACAGTTCCAGTTAAAATTGATTAAAATCTGATTACTTTTATAATTCGGTAATGAAAAGAGCCTCGCAATTGTGCTGTTGCCGACATCCAGAGTTGGTGTAGCTTCGCCACTGGTGACTGAATTTAAATGTTTAGAATATCTAAACGAACTATAAGCAACAAGTACTGTTTTCGCCAAAAATGGTCTATGACTTCATAATTTAATATTGGCCAGACTAATACTGGGTTATCATATGATTTTAATTAAACCTTTTTATTCTATGTCTTGTTTAAACCTTGTTATTAATTGTGAAATACAACATTAGTTAGATTATTTTAGGTCGTTTTCTATATTTATCGGCACATGGCTAACAACTGTTCGGTCATATCTTGACGGATGTTCGTTTTCAAAGGCCACCAACTTGAGGATTGTCCGCATAAATACGATCCATTGCACAACCCTACAAAAAAGTCCAATAATGATAACTGGTATGGTCTTTGTGATCAATTTACATCATGAAATCGTGAAATTGCAAAACAAAACAAAACATGTTTTTTTCAATCTCAAAAAGATTCTAAGTAAAGAAGAATGGGAAGATGTTGAGAAAAAATATGCAAATATGAATTATTTGATCTATTTTTATAAATAAGTATTTAAATTTAATGTTTTCTTATACAAAGCTTTTAAAGGTTTAATGTAAATGCAGTAACGCTAGTAACTTTTATGTAGAACTACTGCAACGATTTTAATTCAAAACGCTTAGATTTCTTGGATATATCTTTAAAGATTGTTAACAAAACTGAGCATATTCGAAGACTTCAACGACTACATATCTTCGATCTGCTATTCAGACAATGATAAATTAAATTATCATTAATTATAATATAGAATAGATATAAAACATAATTCTAGTAAAAGTGAATAATTATGTTATAGATATTAAGTATCTATTTTTTTAGATTGTGAAAAAATTGTTCAAAATTACAATACATTATTTAAAGAAAAATATACAAAAAAATCTGATATGCTAAAAACTCTGATATACATAGAGATCTTTCTATAGACACCCCTAATAAGTGTATCAATACTAGAGCGCCTAAGCTCTATTCGTATTTGAAATATAGGTGGTCACTTGGAAAAATTTGTCAGGGCAGTTTTACCAATATCCGCACAATAATAGTTTTAACAAAAATAGGGAACTTCATAATTAAAGTGATTTAAAGTGCTAGGTTATCACAGTGTCGCTCAAATAAGTATTAGGCAGAAATAGAAAAGATGCCAACTGATACCAACTTCACTAATTAATAATTTTAAATTCAAATATAAATACCGTAAATACATACATTAATTTTTATTTATTAAAAACAGATTTTCTTTAATCCTCGAAACTAAAGTTAACATACCACCCAAGTTTCTTTGCTTACATAAAATATATTATGTATATTATATATTATATTGCAAAACCTATATCCCAAAACGTTATTATAATGTAATGTAGTATTAATATTATATTGCATTATATATATTCTAATATATAATAAATATCAATTCAATTATTTGATCATTTTTAGAAGTTGTATTAAGAATATAAAATATTCTATAGAATACCTATATTATATTCTACAGGCAATGAATTGTAAATTTACGTGCTATAAAAAATTCCAATACACAAAGTTTTTAACAGTGTATAAATTATTCAAGACACCATTTATTACAATAAAATTTAATCTCATCCATATTGTTGCTTCATTAAGGGAACTTGGTATGGTTTAATTTATGAAGAAATGTGTCGCCATTAAGAAAATATTCTCACAAAAACATACTCTGTTTTATGATTTGTCTTTAAAAAACCACAAAGAAATCTTAATTATTAAATTAAAATGTTAAGTATCGAATGAAATAAGTGAAACAAATTAATTGTAAGTCTTATGAACAGAAAACAAGAGCAAATCGAAAAATTGAAAGAAATCAACAAAAATTCAGAATTTTAGAAGATTTTTACCTGATTTAGCATTCTCATAGTTTATTTAATTCTTTGACAGGTTCCACTAAAATTATTCGGTTTAAAATACATCAACCCATAAAATTTAATATCGTCTTGACGACTAGCAACTAAAAATATTTATATAATCCCCATCGTTAAATATTTAGGCCATTTTACATATGATTTAATCTTTTCTATTAAATAATTTTAAAAACGTTTCCTTCAATGAGTTTAGAGACTCATTTAATACGCTCCTAAAACACATCTGTCTATAAATTCGTAGAACTCTTAAATACAACATTTACTTTACACATCATAATCCTTTTCAAGGATGTTGCATTCATTCCAAGCCTTCTCAAACATTTCGATGCTCTTCTTGTAGAATAATTAACATGTGGCCTCAGAATAGGTCTCAGTTGCAAAAATCATTTCTTCATTGTAGCCAAAACGCTTTCTCTTGAGCATCATTTTTAAATCTACAAACAGGTAGTAATCGCTGGAAGCCAGATCCGAAACATATGATGATTATGATTATTTTGTCCGCTTTTGAACATATATCGTGGATTGTCAAGTTTACACAAATCTCACTTGTTACGAGAAAATGAACCTTGTTTTTTTCCACACCTTCGACTTTTAAACGTAAAATTAATATTATGGAATATTCGCTATTGTTTGTTCTTTTCTTCCCTTCTCAAGGTGGTAACTATTTGATGAATAAAAACCGTGCGCGTACCTGTCGATATTTGCTTATTTTTGGTCGCATAAATTGGTATTTTGGTCCGTCAGGTACAAATAAACTAAGAAAAATTACGATGCAGTGATTATTTCACATTCTATTTTTTAATTTAATTTTAATATAATTCAAATATTTCGTGTTTAAAAAGACTTTCTCTCTATACACATCTATGCGAAAAATATTATTTCGGGAGCAATTCCATTAAGAATGAATAATTGGTGTACTACATAAGCAATTTATACTATGTATAATTTAATGATATTACAAGTGAATTGTGCGTAACATTAGGTTCATAGATATTTGGTTAATTAATTATTTATTTATTTATTGTGACATTTACAAACCTATAAATTACAAGAAAATGTCGTCAATGAAGTCACTGAACCGGGTATTTTGTGAGGATTTCATGTTGTTATCGTCTGGGTTTTTAATAAATCAATTCAAAGTGGCGGGACTGTTTGACCACCAGGTTATTACAGAATTTGTGGAAGTAGATGTAATTTATATCATTTCAATAACTTTTTGTTTAAACGATGAAATAGAATTAATATCAGTTAAATGTTATTTTTTGAACAAATACTCATATGTATTGATGCTGAATTAGGGTTAAATATTTTTTTTATATTCCTTATAAGTCTATACACTTTGTTGGAATACGCTTATTGAACAGATAAATCTGATATTCCGAAAGCTGTACATTTTTATTAATATAAGTAGGTACTTCCCCAACTTCTGTCATATTTATAGTCATGAGCTTAATTTAAAATGACATGTGGTGTTCTCTCTTAGTGTTTCTAAAGTAATATTTCATAATAAAAAAAACGCCTATGGACAGCCCAACAAGTAATAAGTGGATGACAAAGGTATGTCAGTTGCACAATTCGATTAACTTTTCATGCTATTTTCTTTGAAAACAAATGAACGTTCAAAATTCAAACTTCAAAATTTTTGGATGTGTAAATTGTTAAATTTGTCTTTGACAAGATGGTATGCCTTGATTATTTGCTTTAAATAACTTTTTTCCTATAAAAACTGAAATAAAACAATATTTTCTGCTACATTTCAATCTAGATAAAATATTTTATCATATATACATATATAAATAATAAATTAATAAAAACAAATTGTTATACTCAAATGTAACGTACGTAGCATTCCAAATTCAACAACACCAAACATATGACTATAGCATAATACAACAATGGGTGTGTTCAGTGCAGTTATTATTGTATCAAATATTAGAAGCTTTCGGCAGCTTTTAAGTGTGGCAAATAACAAGTTGCTTACTATAGGCGCTATACAATCGGTCAAATGTTATATTTTCGCAAAAAGCAAATCTTGCATATGTGAATATAATGCAAGCAAACTATATTTTGTATAAAAATAAACAATAGAGATAAAATTAAAAATTAAAACGAATATTGAACTAAAAGCAATGTTCAAAATGCAGGAAATTTTGAAATTTCCTTTTACAACAAAATAAAAATAGTTATAATATTTGAATAAGTATAAACTTGTTGGCAACTAATAAGTTAAAAATTTTATATTTTCAATTATGCTTTCTTCACGTACTCCTAAATATTCTTCTATATATTTATATATATATATTTAAAATATTTATTTTCCACAATTTTGCATATTTTTAAAATATATATTTTCCACAATTTTCAAATTTGTGAAACTTTATAATTTTGTTTGCATTATTGTTTATAAACTTTTGACATATGACTGGAATATCCGCTGTAAAATCAAATGAAGGTTCACAGCAATTCGCTTATTGCGGTGAAAACATTTTTTTTTGTAGTTGCAACTTCACAACTAGGTGTTTGGACAGAGAAAGTAATGTTATTTCTTTTGTGTATAAATAAGCAACTTTAAGCGAACAACTTGTTTTTTTGCAATACTTAAAAGCTGCGGAAAGCACTTATTATAGAATAAATTCATTTTAAATTTTGCATTGTTTGCTAATAATAATGCAATTTAACTGTAATTTTGAATAATTTAATTTTCTATTTTCGCCGTGTGCGAGTTCGAGTAAATTGATGGTAAACTGAGGGAAATAGCAAATTATGTCGGTATAGCAGCGAATGTTGGTATATACCAGAATTTCGAGTAGGTAAATTAAATAAAAATTAGGTAAATTAGGTGTTACCATTGTAAAAATTTTATAAAATGTTTAATAAATAAATTTGAAAACTTTTAACCAAAAATAAAAAATAAGTGCAAATTTCCTTTTTTTCCTAATAATCATACAATTTTTTCGATGCATTTCACAGCTATTTCTATTGCACCTATTGGTTTTATAATGTGAACATATATTATAAATAAGACATATATAATATATAATAATATATATAAATATTATATATATTATAAATAAAATTGTTCGTTTTTTTCCAAAAAGTTTCCCTAAAACTTTTAAAGAACTTTCTAACATATAAAACCTCTTTTTTGCATACATATTAAATCAACTTATGCATCCAATGGGAACAACCAAATTTTAATTTAATTAATTTAAGTTAATTTAGATGCAGTCAGAACATGGTAAAGATAATAAATATAACAAATAAAAATAATGCAATAAATAAATGTGCAATTGTTTGTTTATTGAACAGTTTTCCGAATCCTATGTTCCCAAATATTTATAATATAAAAAAATGGAGATTTTTATACAATCATATAACAACATTTATTCTTAACGTCTTAAAATTAACGTTATTTTTTTTTTCAGAGTAGCAAAAAAATACACAAAAGAAATATTTACGAAAGAAAACATGTGAAGCAACAACAATGCTCTTAAAATTTTCAGAGTTAGGTTTTATTCGCAAAAAATTTTACGTACTAATTTTCAGTGCAGCCAAATTCCAAAATCAATCTATTGTGAATGCTCACTGGAAATATTTTGCAAAATTCAAGTCATCCGTTAAAATCATATCAGCATTTCATTTACTAATCAATTTAAATGCATAAAGAAAATATTTAATATAAATACATTAGATAAAAATGTTTATCATTGCCCTTCTAATATTCATTTTGCTCTCTTTTATTTAAATTAATTCATTTTTAGTGTACAATTTTCATATTTCATATAATATACAACACAACAAAAAACATATATATAAGAGCATTTAACATATTTTAAGAGTGATGCCAATTTGTTTCAACTACACTTGGTGCTATTTTTTTACAACTCTTTTACCATAACGGTAGTAATTCAAAACTTCAAACAATTTATCTAATAAATGTGTATAAATCACTGAATTTGATAAACAAAGACTACTAATAGGTTAATATTTCACAATCAATCAGCATTTGTTACTTTATTAAACTAAATGCTCATATTAAAATAATTAAATTGCTGAATATGATACCAAAACGAAAATTAAATATTAAAAAGAAATTACCTTTAAGAACTTAATTAAATAGTTAAATAAACAATTTTATTTTTAAACAGTTAAAGTTTTCTCTTTCTTGAATTTTGCTCTTGATATATTCTGTTTGGCCATGTTACGCAAGCTATAGTGAATCAACATATTCGTTGTTGACTTCAATATAAATTTAAAATTAAAAGCATTGAAGGCAACAACAAATGACGTGATCAACAATCATTTGAAGTCTGCATAACATGACTCTAATTTGTGCAAAATCATTTTAAAATTGAATTTGTAATTCACAATAGTACAATTGTGTAGCTATTTTGTGAATAATTTTTTTTTTAATTTATTGGCGAAACTATAAAATAAATAAGTGGAACAAAATTAATATTCGCTGTGTGAACAGTCCTTAACAAAGAGAAGAGAACAAGTAAAATTGCAATGAAAATACAATTTATTGTGCTCTGTGAATTGACTTGTAT